TTTACGGGGATTTTATGGCTTGGGATTTGGCATATGGGCATAACGGGGTTTTGGGGATATGGGTTTCGTGATTTTTTGGGCTAAGATTTGGGCGCCGAGTTGGCGAAATGGCTCCATAGGTTAATGGGGCGAGGTGTCCCGTAAGTATAGTAACCCTGATAGAACCCTTTTAAGGAACCCACTACTTGGAGGTTCATGGTTTAGGGTTTAGGGTTTAGGGTTTAGGGTTTAGGGTAGTTATAATTGGAGTTATAAGTCCCCTAACCTGGGTTATAATTAGAGTTACCCTACTTAGAACCCTACTTATAACTACCCATGAACCTCCAAGTGCCACATCCCCCCTAAACCCTAAACCCTAAACCCTAAACCCTAAACCCTAAACCCTAAACCCAAGTAGAGATGAAGGCCAGGAAACCGGGAGCTCCAACGGCGCCACCGGGGTCCGCAGAGGGCGGCCGTTGGTCTTCGCGGGCTGGTTGTTAGCACCTGGACAAGGGCCGAGGGCTCAGAGCGCTTTAAGGGTTTAGGGTTTGAGGGGTTCGGGTTTTAGGGGTTTTAGGGGTTTGAGGGTTTAGGGGTTGAGGGCTCTAGGGTTTTAGGGTTTGGGGTTTAGGGCTGCAGGGTTTTTAGGGTTGGGGCTCCTGAGGTTCCTTTTCTTTTGATCACCTCTTTTCCTTCGCCTGATAAGGGATCCGGAATACCATGCTGGCTCCTGAGGTTCAGGGTTTAGGATTTAGGGTCTCGGTCGGGGGCTTTCGGGCAAGGGGCTTCGGGCTTTAGATTTAGGATTTGGGTCTAGGGCCTTGGGCTTCGGGTTTGCATTTAATCTTGGTCTTTCAGGTGCTTCGAACATATAGGGGCCTTGATAGTTAATAACTACTGGTAGTATTAAACATATAGGGGCCTTGATAGTTAATAACTACTGGTAGTATTAACGCTAGCAAACCAGCAATTATAACAAAGAGCTCTAAACATATATTTCAGAAGCCTTCTCCCGTCAGCCTCTGCTTCGTCGCTCCCTAGCTACTCTAAGTGCCGGGTATGTAGACATGCCCTAAACCTGGAGACAACATTGGGCCCCCAAAGCCTGAGCCGTACCTCTCCGTAGACCCAGGGCGAGGGGTTTAGGGGTTTGGGTTCAGGGCCTACTTGGAGGTTCATGGGTAGTTATAAGTGGGGTTATAAGTCCCCTAATATGGGTTACAACTATAGTTACCTGACTTATCACCTCACTTATAATTACCTATGAACCTCCAAGTAGGGTTTAGGGTCCTTCCAGCCACGCAACAGAAGCTCAAGCTGAAGACTTCTAGCAGCTACTGCTCGCATAGTTTTGGGCCTTGGGGCGGAACACCCCAACCTGGCCTGCTGCGACTCCGCCACTGCGAACATGGGAACACCCCAACCCTAAACCCGACAAGTGCTTTTGCCGGGCAAGGGACGCATTGGTTCCAAGTTGAGGGCCTTGATGGATGAAGCGAAGCCTTTGTTCTCCAAGAGGGTCGCGGGCTCGGTGCAGGGGACAGGGCATGAAGTTGACTGATCTATGTTGTGCTTTTGGCATGCCCTTCCAAGTCTAAACTGTTGCGAATACGGGAAACATGGAAAACTTAACTCACATCGCGACTTTGTGGCTATATTGTTGCTTACGAAGCCGAGAAGGCCTGCAACAAGAGCTGGGCCTGGGTTAGCACAGGCGCCGAGATGAGGAGTGCTAATGACACCTACTCCGATTCGCCCAAAATGCCTGCGGGCCTCCCACACCTTCAGGGACAAGACCCCGATTTGGGAGATGGCTGATTCTGTGTTTTGACTTGGAGCTTTGTGGCCCTCCGGCACATATGTCTATCCAAACCCTTACACACTCATACAAGAATGTCAGCATGCCAGAACAAGAGACTGGATATGCATATTATATATATATATATATAGATGCATGTATATATATATATACACATAGATGCATGTATATATATATATATATAGATGCATGTGTGTATATATATATATATGTTGTACACATGTACAACTTTGTATGTGTGTGTGTGTCTGCATGTATGCATGCATGTTATAATATATCTGTGATTACGCACAAACAATGACACACATGTGTGTCAGCCATACTTACGTACATACATGCATACATGCATACAAATACAGATAGGTATGCATACAGGCAACCATAGATACATACATACATAAAGAAATGGATAGATAGATAGATTGATAGATAGATAGATAGATGAAACAGATGCATACTTTATGTATATACATGTATATATGTATATATATATATAGATATACTCCCATACATGTTCAATATGTCTTCGCCTTCGCCCATGCTTGCCGTCCTGTCGTTCGGGAGGAAACAAATAAATTTCTCTCTTTTGCATGAAAGACCGTACTCCTTGAATACACATGCATAAAACTGCCTGGTTTGCTTAAGGCAAAAACTCACACGCTGCAGGCACCCACACGATTGCGATTCCATGCCTAGGATGCACTACTTCGCCTGTGACTCTGCCCTTTTATTATTCTCTCTCTCACGTTATTATTGTTTATTTTGTTTTTTTTTGGGGGGGGGGTAGGGTTTAGGGTCTCTTGTACTCGCAGTGCTCACAATCGCCTTACCTTCGAACTGTCGAGAAGGGGCATTTTGCGCAGCGACTCCAAACAGGACGGCAAGGCATAGGCCACACTATGGGGCTACTTGAAACCCTATAAATAGGGCTACCGGGGTTTCGAATGTAGGCTTGCCAAGCAGACAAACTGAAAGTCGTCTGAGTAGCTGTTCTGCTTGGCACTCGCGTTCGGCACGCTTGTCCTGGCGTTTGCTCGAGCTGACAGTCGGCGGAAAGTAATGGGATCTACAGTCTCGCCATCATCATGTCTGCTGTATCGGTAGTTTTGTACGGCATCCACCTCCACGACGACGTTCGCCACCATCACACCATCGCGATGCTTCCAACTACTCTAACGAAAACGTCTGCCCCTTCCACTGGTACTGCAACGGCAGCAGGTGCTGCTGCAAAGCCCAAACCTTTTGCAGGAACCATTGGATGAAAGGCAGGACAGGGTCCTCACATCGGGCCATCGGCTCACTTGTCCGGATGTGCTTCCGGACTCAGTGCCTGGGATGACATAAGACTTGGGTTTGGAATTCAGCGCGCTGGGTGACTTCTACAGATTGACTTCGGTTCTAATTTCGGGGGCTAAAAGGTGGTTTCAGAGAGGATGTGCTAGTTCACGACAGAACCACGGCTAGATTCGTCAACACCCGACAATCATTCTGGGGTTTGGGGCAGGAGAGTACCCGATGAATCCCCGAACCCTCACAGCCAAAGGCCCTCTAGACCTACTATTGTAGAGTAGCTTTAGAACTTACTTATAAAGTATTGAATCCTGCACCTTGATTCCCTAAACCGCGCACGGCTTCCTCAAACCCCAAACTCTAAAGCCGAACGCCGGTTCCCCAAATAAACCCTAGACCACGCTAGACCCTTCGTAAACGCTTGAAGAAATCCTGAAGGTACTGTATAGCCCTAAACACCCTAAACCCTAAAACGAGAGCTCCCTCCCCGTTTCCCCCGGCAAAGGAAAAAGAGCAAGCGAAGGCGCCCTCTGGGCCGGCTGGCCGGTCAGCCTCCTCCGCCTTTCATTTGGGATCGTGGGACTTTGGGTTGTTTTTTTCCCCTTGGGTTGAGGGTTTCGGGTTTATAGGGTTTAAGGACTTTTGGGGGTTTTAGGATTTAGGGTTGAGGGGGACCTAACTCGACGGATGACCATGTCGTAGTGTCTTTTTTGCTGTGTAGTTTTGGGATCACGGGTCAGAGCTCCAGTTTTAGGAGCATGGGACCTGAGTAATGTCATGCGGAATCCGGGCGACGCCCTAAGCCCAAGAGCCCAAAGCCCTGAACCCAAAACTCGTAAAGCCAAGCCCCAGCACCCACAATTCGCGCCTGCGCTGGGGCGGGTGCAGGGGTCGACGATTGGGCGGGGACGGCCGCTGTCATTGCCGGTGCGGGGGCACCTTTGATTGAAGATTGAAGGTTTAGGGTTTAGGGCCCGAAATGACCCTAAACCCTAAACCCGAGAGCGTTATACCCAGAGTAACCAAGGTACCTTCTAAAAGGGTAGACCTGCCAGCTTTTGAGCTCATATCCCTTTTGTGAAGTACCCTTTTAGAAGGTACTTCACAAAAGGGAAGAACTACCAATCTCCTAAGGTCACACATCCCTTTTGTAAAGTACATCGGTCACTCCACGTATACAAAAAAAACCCTAAACCCGAACCCCTTGTTCTGGGGAGTTGGGATTTAGGCTTCTGGGCTTGGTAGCCAGCGTTTGCGGCGGGATGCTAGGAAGGTCCGCGCTTGGGGCATTCAATGTAGGGGCAATTAGAATAGGGTTTTTTGGAGCTCCCTCATTAGTATACATGTAGCAAAGAACCCAGCGCGCTTCAAACGGGCCCTAAACCTCGTAAACCCTAAATCCCTGCTTCCAGTTTTTGCCTTTACCTTCGAAGTCTTCTGGCGGAACCCTACACCCTACACCAATAACAAAAGCAAAAGCTAGGTCGGTCCTGAACAGCAAGCCCTGGACCCTAAACCCTAAACCCGAAGCCATGAACCCGAAGGGTTCTTTTGTTGTGCTCCCTTTGCTTGAGCTGAAAAAGCAAAACCAAAAAAGCTAATATAGGAGCCTTAATACTTGAGGGTTTTGGGGGACATTATACTATAGGGTTTAGGGTTTAGGGTTTAGGGTTTAGGGTTTAGGGTTTAGGGTTTAGGGTTATTATAACAAGGAGCCCCCTAAATAGTACAGGCAATTACTAAGGCCCCTACATTCAACCTCAGCCCCCTCAAACCTCGATCGAGGGCTTTTGGCATCCGGGCCTGTGGACTCTGAGCAGAGCTTCCCTAAATCCGAAACCGACCCATAAACCCGAAAACATATGGGGCTTTTCCGAAAATAAAGGAACCGAATATAGTACCCTAAGTAGTAGGATCCTTATTATAAGGACCTCAAAATAAGGTACCCTTGTGTTCGGACACTTCCATATAAGCCTTAAGCTACAAACCCTAAACCGTAAGCCGTAAACGCATGAACCCCAAAGACCTGTGCCCTAAACGTGCAACCCACAAGCCCTACCCTTTGTGTACTCTCGACTGTTGTCCCTCGGCTCATTCCTTTCTTACGTCCAAGCCCAAAGCACCGCAACTACGCAATTACGACACTCCACTACGAATCCTGAACCGACAGTGGGTCCACAAGAGGGGAACGTTAAGAACTAAGCCCTAAACCCTAGACCCTAAACCCTACCCTACTAAGCTAAACCCTAAACTGCCAACCCCTAAACTCCCGACAAGACCAGGCACTGGCTTCGGCAGGAGTCGGCTCCTTCTTGTCCTTAGGGCTTATAACGTTTAAAGGGTTTGGAAGACTTAAGTATTCGGATTTAGGGTTTGGCATGTAGCCTTCGGGGATTTTCCATCGTTCAAGAAACCCACATTTAGCATAATTAAGGATTCTGTGCGTGGGCTTTGTGATTTGCCTTTCAACTAAAGTTTGAGCATCCATGCTTGTTGCCTGCGAATGTGACCCGAGTCCTAGGCTGAAGTGAAAACTCCGGAGACTTCACCCAAGACTTCACCACAGAGCTGCAACTTCCACGATGAACGATTCGTCCCTGAACCCTAAGGCTCTAGGCCGTAAACCACCAAACCGGGGTCCCTAGCATGACCCCACGGCCGCAAAAAGGGGGTGAACTAAAATCTGACGCTGCGGGCTGGGAAGCTGTGGCCTTTTCCAACTTCTTGTTGGCAAGCCTGGGCAGACGAGTCGGGGATGGGCTTGTTTACGATTGCCTGTTGTCCGCCTGTTGTCCGAAGGATCTGGTACCCATGCTTAGTTTTTTTTTTTTTTTTTTTT